GACAGGTAGATTTTATGCGGAAAACTCATAAAAAACTCATAAAACTCATTTATTTCTGTAAATAGGCTTTAAAAAAGCACTTTTACACGTCCCAGTATTAACCCTACCACTGCTTCAGGACAATAAATGGGCCAGTGCTGAGAAGAAAGAAATGTTTTTTTTAATCTGATTTATCGAATATGTTTTCATCTAACCGATAAAAGAGTTATCTACACTCGTAATCGTAATTGATATTTAACTACAATCAAATGTAAAGGTATTTGAAAACCCTGTCTGATTTGGAAGAGAATGAATGATTCTGCTTTTAAAACACAAAAACTTTTTGTATCTAACCAAAATCAAGGAGAATACAATACTGCCTACTTTTAAGCGCTTCTTGGGACAGATCCCTAAGAAGTCTACATGCATACAGATAAATGTAGCCCTGTATAACCTTCTCGCTTCAAAACCCTTGCCGTTTCATCTATCTACCTACCGAAAGTACCAAGTCATGCCAAGTGAACCAAGCCGGGGTCAAGCCTTCATGGCGCAAAGGTCACGCGTGATGTCAGACGGATTAGAACTATCAAAACTTTAACTTCACTGAAATATGAGAATATGACTCAAATCACTACTAATACCAGTATTAAACCCTGGAAAACATTTTGACAAAATGCATCGTTCACCGCGTCCATGACACGTGGACGTTTTAACGGATTTCAACTAAAAGCTAAAACTACTAGTTTGTATGAGTTATTTCGTTGTTGTACAAAGTTGTTTAAATTGTTTGATAGTTAATATGGATGAAACAAAACTAAATGAAATAGGTACTAAACCATTTACGTCAGTTGTTTTTAATTTATTTGTTTTGCTAACACATTTTACTCGTATTATGTTGTATGCGATGCCTTGGTATTTATCCTAAAGTATATGAGTTTAATATGTATTGAAACCTAACGAAGTTTTTACATTATATTTTGTTTCATATAAATAATCATGTTACTTACTTACCCATTATAATTTAATATTCATAATATGCTTGAATTCCAGTTATTAGTTTAGTCAGAATTCCGAAAACACGCAATTTTCCCTTCGAATCAAATTACTGTTTAGTATTTCGTGTTATAGTGATAGCATCTATTACTGGGAACACTTATTGCTATATTTGCTCAAAAATCCAAGTGGTAAAATGGTCCTTGAATTCCACGTGTTTTATTATGTCTGAAAAGATTTTTCTAATCAAATTACTATTCCTATAATGTCTCATGATTTGCTTTTTGATACTAGCTTTTGCCCGCGGCTTCACCCGCGTGAAATTTAGTTTGTCAGAGATTGTCATAAATTATAGCCTATATGTTATTCTGGGTTAATTATTAACAATAATACTGCAAAGTTTTATTAAAATCAGTTCAGTAGTTTTTGCGTGAAAGAGTAACAAACATCCAGACATACTGACATCCAGACATCCAAACTTTAGCATTTATATAATACTAGCTTTCCGCCCGCGGCTTCGCCCGCGTGGAATTTTGTCTGTCACAGAAAAACGTTATCGCGCGCGTCCCTGTTTCAAAAACCGGGATAAAAACTATCCTATGTTCTTTCCCGGGACTCAAACTATCTCTATGCCAAATTTCATCAAAATCGGTTGCGAGGTTTAAGCGGGAAAGCGTAACAGACAGACAGACAGACAGACAGACAGAGTTACTTTCGCATTTATAATATTAGTTGGGATTAGTAGGATGATTTGCTTTGCGTGTCGGCCGTTTGGTGTAGTCGTTCAGAACGGACTACTGTACCAAGAGGTCCCGGATTCGATTCCCGGTCGGGCAGAAATAGAAATGATGAATTTTAATTTCTATGACGGGTCAGGGTTTTAATGTATAATATGTATGTCAAGCTAGCACCCATAACCCAAACATATAAGTTGCTTACTTTGGGGCTAGCTGGCGGTGTGTGAAATTGTGCAAAGATTTAGAAACTCACAAAACCAAAACAAATGAGGCCATAGAAGCTACCCCAAAGTATCCCGCCACTTGCGCTCCAGCCGCGGTGGGATTCCTTAATTTCCTAGCGTTCATTAAAGCTCTAAACAAGAGTGGCTGTCACATGAAATTCCACCAGGAGTTTATCGGATTCAGGACCGGGAGCGGTTACACTTCGCTGGGAACGATGACCTATTCTGGAAAACGATTACCTACTAACGGTTATTTTAATGCATTCAATTAACGAAACTTTCTTTTACTATGACGCCCTTGGGAACTTGCCATTTTTTCGTACGCATAGTTTAGAAGCCCTGGACCATCGCATTACCAATCTAAAAACCTGCGGAAAATTTGTAGTTGTAGTAGGTGCGATTTTGAAAAAAATATTATTAATCGGATATGCTGTTAACTGTACTTAACAATACTACTTACCTACGTCTCAGAGAGTTATGTAACAATTGACTCTTGGATAGCTTTTAATTATAAAAAGAAAGATTTAAAAAAATGGAGTAATTTGCGTATTTGCGTTAAATCTATCTAACTCGCATTGTTTTAGGCTTGATTCTGAAAATGTGCTCTCGACCTTCGTCAAATGTTTGAATTCCTAAGAGAGGACAGCAGCCCAGCATCTATAACGATAAATTATTTACCATTCAACCTATCAAGTGTCTCACAGCAAGACAATGGAGAACAATAGGGGTGTTGACACGGCCAGGCGAATGACATGGAAAGATTACATTTCTTTTGAATTTTATTCACTGTTAATAGCTTAAAAAGTTAACGAGAATTCAGTCAATTGACTGCCATAAAAAAGTTCTGCGTGGATGTGGCTTAATCTATGGACTATCCAGAAACAAATCAAATCAAATCAAATTTTGAAGTGCTACAATGAAATAAAATAATAAGACACGGGTCTTAACGCGACGTTTCTTAATGAAAGTTTAAAATCTTATACAATGAAATATTTAAACAAAAAATTACCAAATTGGTGTGAACGGCAAAAGTACCTAAGAACCATCGCTTAAGATCATTACTAGTTATAGATGGTGTCCTGAAAGTTACAGACATCCTGAATACTACCCTATTTGCTCCGTTCTTGATATATTTTTAATTAGCTCTAGATTCTCGCAGAAAGAGACCCAAGGAGGTGATTTATCGTAACGTTCTGCATAGTAGACCCCCAGAAACGTGATCGTATCTCATTATTTATAATAATTGGACGGCACGGATAAAGAGCCGGAATACGAAACTAGTGGGTTCTCAAGCGGGAAATACGGGCTAGTTTTGCATTCTCGGCTGCGGCAGTTTGTTGGATATTTATCTATTTGAATATATATATATTTGTCATGACTATGGGTCTTTTTTCAAGAGATTATTTTCCATAAACTTGGCACATTGTCCTGAAGGCCTAGGATGCGCGCCGCAATAAGCGGTTTTCACGCCATTTTGTCGATTTTGCCCATACATTTTGACGTCGATAAAGTATATCACGGCGCGCATCCTAGCCCGGCTGGAAGATCAATCGGGACTACAATAGTTAACCACATTACGAATAATGTGAACTGCTCTACACTACTACTTACTCTAGATTTACTTAGGTCAACATGTTAGGTTAGAACAACATGCTCTTCACACAAACACGATCTCCCGCTTTCATCCAGCTGCTACCAGCTATGTTGATCCTGGTCCATAGTTCATGGTGCTGGTGGACGTCCTACGTCTTTGCCTAGATGTGGTCTCCGTTACGTCACACACACATTACTCTTTCCAAATACTCTCTTGGCCTCTACCGCCGTAAGTTGTAGCTGACATACGTAATGCGCATTTCGCACGCCACACTCAAAGCGTACCCGGCCGCAAAACTACCCCGTGCGTTTTCCCCGCGTAAAAAAGAGGGGTAATTCATCACTCCCCAGCTGGCGGGTGAAGGTCCTCGTCACGGCAACTTATTGCAACACCAGCCGCTAATGTGGTCTGGTATTGGGCGATCTATCAGCGGGATCCTATAGGGAATTTTAATGAGGGCTTATGTATAGTAAGTACTTATACAGGGTAGGTGGCGGGTCGGTATAGTCCGGGGTTAAATGTACTTTTATACAAATCGGGCGAATGAAAAATAGGGAAGATAGGGTATGTAAGGAATATTTTTTTTATAAAATACTCGTAAGCAAATGAAGGATAATTATGTTGAACATTTATTACAGCTGACAGAACTTCATTTTGTGCATTTTCATTGGAAATCAAGTACACAACATGGCAACCATGTCCATTTATTTTCACCAAGGTCAATAGAGTCAACTAAAACAGCATCCTTTGTTCACCTAGGAATTTATTCATCCAAGTGAACACATGCGACTTTTTTCATTGACCAAGTGGACTTATATTACCTGGTTAACACTTTAGTCGACTGAATTCACCTGGAAAATAAAGTTGGGTGAAATGCTTCCGAGGTGATATCACCCAGGTGAACAAAGTGGAATAAACCGTCTAGACGTTCGAGGAACACGGAAATAATGAAAAAGCCTCTAACTCGCTTATTTGGGCAATGAAATTATTGAATCGATGTAATTCCCGACATAAAAAGGTGAGGTTATTGTTCGCATAAAAACTTGTGGTGTTTTGAGGGCCCCGAGTCGGGGAATAACGCGAGTTTTTATGGGCCTTCATTAATATTTATGCGAAAGTTTTGTACTTACGTAATTCGGTTGCTCTCGTCCTGTATCCATTATTCTTACATACATTATGAAAGATGTAGAGTCTTCCATTGACTAAAATAGAGTTCGTGATAAGTTACAACTTAGATGAGCCATGACCTGCTAACACTAGTGTTTCTGCCAAATGCATCATTAAGGACTATAAGAAAAAGACTTACGAATCTTTTAAATCAGTTAGAAAATCTGCTTTTATTTAAAAAGGGTCATGCATTCTAAATGTGTAGACAAAGTATATTTCCCACCTAGTCTTTAAAGTTTTTTAACAATGTATATTTCTACTAATGATGTCGTTTTCTTTTGTTTTTTCCTGCTCTCTTGTGGCCAGAGACTGGATGTCAGCGATTTCAAAAACGGTAACTATCAACAAAACTAATCAGCCATTAGTATTTTTCAGTTTAGTTATAATGCTTTTTACTTTCAAATACGTTTATTACTCAAGTAAAGAAGTTACAAATATACATAGTTGTTGCAATTCACGATGTGCGGTGGCTCGCTAATGTTCGTTTTCCAATAGTTTTGATAGACATTACATGACATTACACTATCGTTATGTGCATGTGTACACACACAAGTAAAGCTCACTCGCCTTCGTGAGTTGCAAGAACTGTACCAGAATAAATGTAAGTAGTCTGAAAGGACTTAATTTGTTTGAATTCGAAAATGACTTATTTACTGACTATACACTAGTAGTAATTAGCCTTGAAAGTTTCTATGAACTTTTGCTTGATTTGAAAAGCTTAGAGCCTAGAACAGTTACTAGGCAATATTTAGGCTGGGTTGCACCATCTTATTTTTTTGACAAACATCAAATATCTGTCAACCTCCATACAAAAAACACCGGTTATCGTTATAGTTACGGTCAAAGTTAGGTGGTGCAACTCAGCCTTAGTAGTAATTAGACCCCATTTTTAAAAATGTTGTCTGTTTTTTCGTCAACAGTTGCCCCCGCCACCGCATATCGAGTTGGTGATGTCGATGCCGTACCTCCGCACTGCCTTCAAACGACCCACCGTGAGAGTTCGCCGTAAGTATTCTTTAGTAAATACAATTTTGTTAGGTACCAATTTTTCTTAACGTCACTTTGAAGTGTCACTTTATTATTCACTAGCTTTCCGCCCGCGGCATCGCCCGCGTGGAATTTTGTCTATCACAGAAAAACTTTATCGCGCGCGTCCCTGTTTCAAAAACCGGGACATAAAATATCCTGTGTCCTTTCCCGGGACTCAAACTATCACTCTGCGAAATTTCATCAAAATCGGTTTAGTCAGTGGTTTAGGCTTGAAAGCAAGACAGACAGAGTTACTTTCGCATTTATAATATTAGTATAGATTATTTCTCTCCAAAGATCAATAATTTATCGGTATTTCTGGAAAAAAATCTATGTTCTTTAAAAAGTATGTTCGTGATGAAACGTTTGATAATAAACAAGCCCCCAAATGTACTAATGTTTATAAAAAATTAAGGCAAACAGGCAGCTCGACATGAATATCAAATTGAAACCTAGTTTCACAAGTCACAACACGTCCAATAATAATTCTGAACCAAACAAATTGAATTACAAGCACAAGCAGTTTCCGAGAAAACTACGCATATGCCATAAGATAAACAGACAGACAAACATAATTACACAATTTTCAGATAAATTAATTTACAGTTACGTGAATGCTCTACCTAACGTAACAACTCCTATTGAAACGGATTTGGATTGACGTTAGTTCATTATGTTACGATTCAATTAATTACGTTATATCTAGGTTTCCTTGCTCGCGACACTTAAACCTGACTTCCCTGACGTAAGCACTTTACGTAAGCTTCTTACAAACAATGGGGTAGGACAGGGATGGCGAACTAATGGCGCGCGACACAATAAAACCCATGGGCACGCAAAGTTTTTTTACCCACAACGAGGAAGTTCTTGGCCTGATTCTGCTTTTGATGGAAAGTGATGATCGGGCTGAAGGTGGAAGCGAGCTTCACCCGGAATTCTCATCCACAGAGGAGCTGGCTATCTTACCCTCAACTGCCAACACAAAACGCTGTTACATTTTATTTTGGCGAGAGACTTAGATAAGATTGTGGTAACAAGCCAGACGGACTTAGAAAAAGCCCTACCACCATTCAAATCGAGCAGAAAATTTTGTACCCTTGAATAACCCTGGCCGTCTGAGTCTGAAGCTGATGGTCATACTACGGGACTATTCCCACCTCTGCAAACTCCTGTGTGATCTACAGCTTGACCGCCAAAACCTAACCAGTAAAGGCCAAGTTTGTTCCAGTCATGCTACTAAATCACAGATACGATATTATTTGATTGGTTTCAATAAACATTTTTTAGAAAAAATACACACACAATGGCTTGCCAACCCTGGCCTAGGATAAATTCTCCGAACAATCACCTGGCTCCGTGAAGCCGTCAGCTGCACCGTCTCGCGATGACAACACGTGTTCCCTTCGTGGGCAGACGCGTGAGGATCTCTAAAAGAAATATGCTGAATGCCCACTTACCAATACCTGTTGTATTGTTACCAGTCGGAGATAATAAGGGTAGTTCATGTAGATATAGATAGATATATAGATAAATCATTTATTTGCATACACTTAAGTCTTAACACACAATATGAAATAGTAAAGTTGCAGCATAACAATAATAAGAAAAGAATAGAATACAACAGAATACGATATAAGCATGCATAAAACAAACAAAAGCAGTTACAAGTGGAAGAATATTTCCTGCATGATGTGTGTCGCAGCGATGCAAAAAGCAAAGCTCAATGTAAACACTGCCCTGAAAAGGGCAGAACACTGATTTTCAGCTCTTGCTAGAGAATCCGCGAAGCCCACGAGAACGAAATCGCCCGTCATCCGCTATCAGTAAAAATGTTTAAAAAACGACTAGGGGAAATACTAATATTAAAAATAATAATAGATTTACCCCAACTGACTGTAGAGTCAGTCGGGATACTTTTTAAGATATCAAAGTTCGATTCTACAGTATATCATTATTAGTCCAGTCAATAAAGTATTATAGAGGGAAATGTGGGAACACAATTTCTGACTTCGTGACTTTATTTAGATAACTGAATCATTCATTGACTGTACTTTCATCTGTGATTCTACCATCAATTTTGTATGGCAAAGCGAAGGCTTCACCAACTCAATTTTACAGTTAATTGAAAATTAGAGTGAGTAGAGAAGTTGTGCCTTAGTGTTATTGGTTAATTACATAATTATTATTAAATACTGTGGTTGTGCCAGTAACTTAAACTACTGAATCTAGAGATTGTTTTACTTTGAAGCATATAATATTTGCTGGAATTGGAAATATAATCAAAAGCTACTAAATTGTTCTAGTAAAAAAGATATTGGAAAATAATAATTCTTCGAACAATCACACGGCTAATGTTTTTTCCATTTAGGTGTGTCACATTTGGTAAAGAAAGACATCATGAATAAAACATCTTTCAGGAGTCTTATATTTTGTGAAATAACTAACATCCACATGTAAATAATTGAAAACTGACTATTATACTTACCTTTTCTTAGGGTTTGGATTTTCTCATTATCCATACAGTGGTAACACAACACCTTCTAGGCTTCTAAAATTCGGTTACCCTTTATAAACATAATTTCTTTTCGTGTAGAGCTTTGATTTTATTCGAATAACTCCGACTAATCTTTTTTTTTAATATATGAATCTACTCATGATACATAGCTTAGTACATCCCCAAATATGAGACAAATCCATTGAGTTTTTCTTGTCTTTATTTTTACTATTTATTTGTATTTTTTATTTATATGCTCGTAAAAAATTCTACCTATGCGATTTATTTAAGCTCTATGAAAACATCGCAAACACTATGCATCACGCCTCGCAAACACATAACCAAAATGACAAGCTAAAAATCTACCATTAAATAATAGAGTATAACTACCTTATTTAATCAAAACGATATTTTATATGCAGCTTATCAACTTTGCCTCGCGAGTTCAGTGAAATATATCGTATTTTTTCGAGGATCAATAACCCATTTTAAAATTCACTGATCGGAGCTCGAATCGAGTTTACGGTTCGAATAAAGACAAATCGATTTTCGACTCCACATTAATCAACGCTGAGTTACACGCGACAAACGAAAAAAGGACGGGTCAGTTTATATTGGACTTTATTTTATAAATTAGCAGTTTATTGTAGACGATTTTAAGTAAAAAATAAGCATAATTTTATTTAATTGTGTGATCTCTCATGTAAAAGAAAAGTCACAGTTAATATAATTAAAGATTCGCCAATTTATTAGGTGTTTTGTGTAGCAAATGATCTTTACTCATGCTTTAAGTATCAAAGATTAAGGAAATTGTTGATTTCCTTTTCATTCATTACAGAAATGTCCGATGGTTTATCTTCAACAAACCCAAACATAACGAATCGCGAATGTGAAGCCGCAGGCAGGGACATTATGAAATTTTAACATTTTTCCCGCGACTCCGGGCTGATTGGTTTGTCACAGGAATTCTATAGCTCGTCACTCGGGAACTGTGAATGGTCCCGGGACAAAAGCAGTGATGTTAGCTACAATTATCTTTCTATCAGTGAATACCTACGTACTTCTTTGCATCGATATTTTGGTTTTGGGTTTTGGTATTCTAAAAATTAGTTTGTAATACTTAGGTAATCCCTACTGACTATTTTCAAGAGTTAATTATTCATAGAGCACAACACAATTACTAAAATCCATGCTAGCTCCAGCTTAGCTAAATATTTTATGCTTGTGTTAAAAGAATAACCCCATCAGCTAAGCTTAAACGTATTTATGCTTGCGTTAAAAGTGGTTTTACCACTATAATCCAGCGGTCGACGGAGATCGATCGAAGATCGGTAGTCCGACGTCTATGTCAGGCTATTGTCCGGACTTATCACAAGTATACTTTGCTTTATAATAAAAGTATAGATAACCGCCTCTGTGGTCTAGTGGTAAGACCACCTGCTTCAGACGCAGAGGTCCCGGGTTCGATTCCCAGTGGGGGCAGATTGTTCTGTTCGGTTTGGTTGGTGGTAGGGCTTGTTCTAAGTCCGCCTGGCTAGCTACCACCATCTTACCTAAGTCTGTCGCCATAACAACAATGTTAACAGCATTATTGTGTTCCGGCAGTTAGAGGTAAGATAGCCAGTTCCTCCATGGTTGAGGATTCCGGGTGAAGCTCGCTTCCACCTTCGGCTTGATCGTCACTTACCATCAGGTGAGATACAAGNTAACTCGCTTATTTGGGCAATGAAATTATTGAATCGATGTAATTCCCGACATAAAAAGGTGAGGTTATTGTTCACATAAAAACTTGTGGTGTTTTGAGGGCCCCGAGTCGGGGAATAACGCGAGTTTTTATGGACCTTCATTAATATTTATGCGAAAGTTTTGTACTTACGTAATTCGGTTGCTCTCGTCCTGTAACCATTATTCTTACATACATTATTAAAGATGTAGAGTCTTCCATGAAAACCACAAAATGACTGAAATAGAGTTAGTGATAAGTTACAACTTAGATGAGCCATGCGACCTGCTAACACTAGTCATCATCATCATCATCAACAGCCCTTTACAGTCCACTGCTGGACTATGAGCCTCCTCCACTATAGTGGAGGGTTTTGCCATAAACCCCACGCTTGGCAGGCGGGTTGGAGATCGCAGTTTAAAAGATTGATGTTTGTCAGAGAGCGCTGCTGCCCGTTCTCTGTTTGATGTGTAGTCCCTAAGTCGCCTCTTACGACACCCGCGGGAAGAGTAGGGGTTGGTGACAAATGTATTCTACTCTGCCGTCACCACACGGCATCTCTAACTAACACTAGTGTTTCTGCCAAATGCATCATTAAGGACTATAAGAAAAAGACTTACGAATCTTTTAAATCAGTTAGAAAATCTGCTTTTATTTAAAAAGGGTCATGCATTCCAAATGTGTAAACAAAGTATATTTCCCACCTAGTCTTTAAAGTTTTTTTAACAATGTATATTTTTACTAATGATGTCGTTTTCT